TATTCACTTAGGATTTTGCATTCAATTTCTTAAGTACTACTGGTCTGTACTTTTTTTTATATGCTACTTTTATCAGACTTAGGGACCAATGTTATAGTCAACATTTCTGATAAAAGATTTTGGGAAATTTCCTCCAACTGCTATGTACCAAAACAATAAAGTAGCACTGGGACTATCTCGTCTCTCAACATTTAGATGAATTCACTGTGAAACCATCTAGGCCTGGTGGTTTTTTATGGGGTCATTTCTTGGCAACTGTGCCTATTTCTTCTATGGAAATGTCTGTTTACATTTTCTATCTTCGGTCATTTTTGATATACTGTATTTTCCTCGGAAATCATCCATTTCATCTTCATTTACAAATTTATATGCAGAATCATACAAAGTATTGGTTGTTGTTTTTGTTTTTTTTACTATTTCCTCCATATCAAGTTATTGGCACTTTTTGTCATTTCTTATTTTGTATATGCATGCTTTTCCCTCTGTGATTAAAGCAGTCAACCATGTGTCTATTTTGATTTTTTTAAAATAAAACCAGATTACTTTGATCTGTTTTTCTGTTCTCTATTTATCACTCTTTGCTTTTATCTTTATCACTGCCTTCCTTTCATCTTCTTTTGGTTTTACTTTGTCTTCCTCTAACTTTTTAAGTTAGAAATTTATTAATTCAGTAATTTTCATTCTTCTGTTTTTTTTCTTGATGGAGGTATTTAGGTCTATGGATTTTCCTTTGAGCACTCCTAAAATATATCTTACAGGTTCAGGTGTATAGTGTTTTCATTATTTTTCAGAAATTTGTCTTAGTATTTCTCCTTTACCCAAGAGTTAATATAAGGCTTTTACATTTCCAGGTAGAAGGCCTAGTTTTTTGTTGTTTCATTTTTAATTCCTAGTTTTATTGCAAAGATCAGAGTACTGGTTCTATTTCCATTATGAATCCTGCTGATATTCTCTTTGGGCCCTATATATACTATCAGATTTGTGAATTTTCCATGTGCACGTGAAAAAAAGGTACAGTCTCTACTCTCAAGGTGTCATGTTTGGGATATATCTAAAAGATCAACCTTATGACCTTGTTTTGATCTTTCTTTAGTTTTGTCTACTTGACTGTCTTGTATTAAGAGTAATGTGTTCAACATCCTCTGTTTCAATCTGTTTCTCTTATCTGCTGTGGCTTCCTATTTTTATAGATGGCTACTGTGTTATCTAGTGTATAAACATTAACAAATGTTATATCCTCATTGTCAAATACCACTTTAAGATTATAAAGCATATGTGTCATCATTTAATGCTTTTCTGCTTTACTTCTACTTTATTTCGTATCAGGACCATAACGCCTGCTTTCTTTATTGCTCTCATGTACCTGGTAAATCTCTGTCCACTGTTTACTTTGTAACCTTTTTGTGTGTGTGATAAAATAAAATTTAATTATGTAATTAAGCATTGGCAGAAAACTAAAGGAATAATTTGGTTATACCCTTATTCTGATCATCTCTCTATGTATTTTATTTTTTATTTCATTAATTTTTTGAAGCATAATATAGAGTGTTATATTAGTTTCAGGTGTATGATATAGTGATTCAACAGTTCTATCCACTTCTCAGTGATCATCAAGATAAGTACTCAATCCCCTTTATCTATTTCACTCACATCCCCACACCCATCTTCCATCTGGCAACCATTAGTTTGTTCTCTATATTTAAATCCTTTTTTTTTTTTGTCCTTTTTCTTTGTTTCTTAAATTCCACTTATGTGCGAAATCATATGGTACTTGTCTTTCTCTGACTAACATTTCACTCAGCATTACATTCTCTAGGTCCATCCATGTTGCTGCAAATGGCAAGATTTCATTCTTCATGGCTGAATAATATTCTACTGTAAACAGACAGATAGATAGATATATCACATCTTCTTTACTCATTCATCTCTCAATAGACACTTTGGTTGCTTCCATATCTTGGCTGTTGTAAATAATGCTGCAATAAACATAGGGGCGCATGCATCTTTTCAAATTAGTGATTTCATTTCCTTTGGTAAATACCCAGCAGTGGAATTACTGGATCACTGATTGTTACTATGTGTGTTTCTCTATTTAGTGTGTTCTTTGCTTTTTAAAAAAACTCTGTTGGTACTTAAGAAGGTTTATATTTTTATTCTAGTAGAGATTTTTGCGGTTAATACTTTTTATGCTGTCCTTAATTCCCTCGCTTTAAGTGTTTTATAATTTGGTCTGACAATTTTAAATGCTATCCTCTGATTACCATCTTCTTCTTCTACCCATATCCTCACCTAGTTTTAGTCTTAGCTCTAAAATTAATGATATAAAATGCTCACCGTTTCTCCAGTCATCTCTTGGCTGGATCAAGTTCATCCTCCTATACTATGTTGTTCAATATGAACAAGGCAGAACCTAGCCACATGCAGGCATTTAAAATTCAGTTCCTATGTTATACTAGCCACATTTCAAGTGTTCATTAGAGCCATATGTGGCCAGTGGCTGTAATTTCAAACATCACAACTGCAGAATGTTTCTAACACTGCAGAAAGTTCTATTAGACACGGCAACTCTAGTGGATTCCTCAGAAAGGGTGCATGTGTACAAAAATTTCTATGTGTAAAACCTCAGAGAAAATTTTCTTAGAGCCTTATTTGGATACCTTGGTAGGATATATGTCTTTGGTTTGTACTTTTTGCTTACATTTCTTGAAAATGCTGCTCCATGCTGCCTTGCTTTTGAGAAATATGATACCTGTCTAATTCTCCCTTGTAAATTATTTTCATCTTTTTGTCTAGAAGTCCTGGCTTTTTTTTAAAAAATATTTAAGTTTCTGGGGCACCTGGGTGGCCCAGTCATTAAGCGTCTGCCTTCGGCTCAGGTCATGATCCCATGGTCCTGGGATTGAGCCCTGCATCGGGCTCCCTGCTCAGTGGGCAGCCTGCTTCTCCCTCTCTACCCCTTGTGCTCTCTCTCTCAAATAAATAAATAAAATCTTTAAAAATAAATAAATAAATAAATATTTAAGTTCCAGTAGTTTACAATGATGTATTTTGGAGTTCATTATTTATGGAGCATTTTTCCCTGCATCTAGTGAAAGAGCCCTTTCAATATGTAAACTCAGGTTTTCTTTTATTTCCAGAAAGTTTTCTTGATTACAGTTTCAAATACTAGTTCTGTTCCAATGTTTTGGTTTTTCCTCTTCAAAGACTCTGATAAAATGAATATTATTCCTACTTTTCCTATCTTTCATTTCTACTAGTTTCTCTTCAACTCCTTTTACTCGTCATCCATTTTGATTCTCTTGGCTGTTTTTGCTGCTTTTCCTTGATATCTTTTATTAAATTTGAATGTAACTCCATTCTCCTTTGGACCCTTTGTAATTTAGTCTTTACTTTTGATATGGTTGTCTTATTCTTCTACTTCTATCCTGAGGTAAACCAGCTGTGGTTTCATTTCTTTGTGGGGTTTTTTGGTCCATTTCTGCTGTTGGCTTTAGTATTTCTGATTAAACATGATTTTTCATATCCCCCATGTGTTTGAGAACACCTGACTCCTTTCAGAGTGTTACAATTTTTTTCTGCTTCATGGTCAATTTTCTGGGAAATGTTTTTATTAGCTCAAATAATCATATCTGCAGTTTCTGCTTTTTTATAGTAGTTCTGTATGGATATGATCTGCTCTTTACCAATCCTAGTCATGTCACAGTTTAAAAGTGCCCTCTTCTGTACCGTTTCTTTAATGGATTGGGGAGAGGGTGACGGTCTTATTTCTTATTTCTCTTGCATTTCTGCAGGATCCCTAATTTTCCCCTTATTCCTTTTTTCCCATCATTGCTTTATCTCAAAGGGGTATCATTCCTTCTCTATATATCTGGTTCTTCCCAAGGCAGTGTCTTTCCGCGTGTCCACTTCTATTCCTGCCCACTACAAGCCCCTTCTCTATAGCCGTGCTGTGAACTATCAAACCATATTTGCAAAGTTGAGTATTTTGCACTGAGTATTAATGTTAGGTTCTCTCATGCTGGGGGTGACTCTTGTGCTCCATCTAAGCCTTCTATATCCCTCAGCTCTTTTTTTTAAGACTCCCTGCCCCCACTCTCTATGTATAGGCTTACAGCACTAGGAACTCCATTGAAATTTGACTTATTTCTCTACTGAAAGTTAATTCAAAGGTCACTATAGTCTCTATATCTTAGTAATGCTGAAAGCATAGATTTATTTTCTTACTAATTTCATGGGGTTTCGGCGGAGCTGAATGGGAGAGTGTGTAGGACAATTTGTTATCAGGTGTCTATCACTATTCTCCAGAACTCTAAATGTTTGTTTTTTTATTTATTTATTTTTTAAGATTTTATTTATCTATTTGACAGAGAGAGACATAGCGAGAGAGGGAACACAAGCAGGGGCAGAGGGAGAGGGAGAAGCAGGCTTCCTGCCGAGCAGGGAGCCCAATGTGGGGCTCGATCCCAGGACCCTGGGATCATGACCTGAGCCGAAGGCAGACACTTAAAGACTAAGCCACCCAGGCACCCCTCTAAATGTTTTTTTAATAATTACAAGGCGGTCCATCAAATGATTATACCATATTTATTGAACCAAGCCTTATCTTTGGAAACCTTTGTTGTATCTACCTTTTCACTAGAAAACTTTGTTGAACATCATTCTTGTACATTAGTATTTCTGTATTTCTTATTATTTCCTTAATAAATTTTTTGATATGAACTGCTAGGTCAAAGGATGTGACCATCTTTAAGGATTTTGACATATGCTATAAGACAGTTCAATGGTAAGCATTCTATATAAAATATACATGTCTTATTCTCCGGCCTATTTGCAACTAGTTCTAAAATCTTAAATGTGAATAGCAGATATATAAAAGGCCCATTAAATTACAATGCTTTGCTTCTCAGTTGTGTCCAAAATTTCACATCTATTATAGTGAATTTTTAAAATGCTAGAAAAATTGTTAGCTTTCCAGTATTAGATACTGAAACCTCAGTTACCTTTTCTGCTTCCCGTGTATCATCAAAAAGTCTCCTTTGCCTCCTAGCAGGAATTGGCTTAGCTGTTTCCCAGGCTTCTACCCACATATTGCTTGGAATCTTCATTCGGGCACTCAGTTCTCCTTTCAGAACCATGTTGCCCTTTTCGTCAATGACCTCCTCTTCAATATAATCCCGGGGTGAGTACCACCTCACAAAATCTTCCAGAAAACAACCTGGATTAGCTGCCTAAAATAAGGCAAAAAAAATTCAGCAGAATCAAATAAAAATCAACAGGTAATGATAAAACTGTTTACAAATTCATACTTTCACAAAAAGCTTATCTAATCTTTACAAAATCTAATATGTGACATGAGTCTGGGTGTCACCTTTAAAACAGGTCAGATGTTCAAGTACCAAAAGCATTTTCTTTTGTTGTCTCCATTTTATAGAAAAAGAAAACATTTGATGAATTTAGAAATAAAAAGTTGATGGGAAGTGAAAATAATTCTCTTAAGTGTATTGTTAAGTTACATAAGTTAGTTTAAAATTATAATATAGTAACTACTCAATACTTGGAAAAGTATGAAATAAGCTCAAGTCTAGTAGTTAAATAATATACAATGTGATCAGAATAATAACACAATAACAGAGAAGTTCTACCGTTTTTTACCTCAATAAATCACTACTGGTACTGCAATAATTATCAGCTAACCTCAGAAATGTTCTTTTTAGTCATCAAAAGCACATCATTTGTGCTTTATATAACAAATTACCATCACATAAATTGCTTTTGTCCTGTTAAGGAACTGGAATTCAAACTATTGCTTTTCAGGTTTCTGAAACCAACTAATTAAACTTTTATTTAGTAGGTAAGTCTGTAGAATTAATGATGATGCATGCTAAAATGCCTTAAGTAATTCTACAGTCAAGCCTGGAAAAAAGGAGAAGCTTCACAGCCTGAAACAGTTAAGTGATATAAACATTAACAAGGAAGTGCTAATCAGCAAAAGATAATTTTCTTCCTTTTTAAATTAAATTAACCTCTAACCAAAATGAAAACAGACATGATAAGTCAGTCTTAAATGTAAAGAGCAAAACTGCCCATTTCTCCTCATTGAGTTCACTGTCTCTCAGCTTCACGATCCCCATCAATTTAGGAAATCCCCCTGAGGGATGAGGACTCAGAGGAAGGTCCTTAACTGAGAGTCGTCAACATAACTTCTAAGGGCTATGGCATCATGGCAACCAAAAAATGCTGTGAAGTGCAGTGGATCAAGACTGCTGCATGACTCAGGATTCATGTACAAAGATCTGGTTACTAACCAGGCAACATCACACCTGCACAAAAACATCTTAGGAACTAGAGATAGACCTTGAGAAAAGAGAACGAACTTAAAGAAAATAATACTGAACTCCTGCACTACAGAAGTTAAAAAAAAAAACAAAAACTTTTCACACAAAAATTCTTCATCTGTCTGGCCTTACTGTACCAGGCTGAACATATAGCTACCAGGAGAGAGTCAAGCCTCACTTCAGCTATGGCTTATCTTCTTTCTACTGTTAAGGTATGTACTCCAAGGACATGCTTGAGAATAGGCTCTGTCCTATTGCGAGGTGTAGGTACCTCAGGTTCATATCACCATTCATCCAAAGCTCTGCAGACTCTCCTAAGGGCCCCTAATACCAAGTCACCCCTATATAAAAAGGTAAAGGCAACCATGTCTATTTTAGAATGACTACGTTTCCTTAAATATATTAACTGATTCCCACATAGAGAGAGATGTGTAAGTTGGCTATCTGAAATACAATCTTTTTATTGAAACCATGTTTTAAGAGATTTGTAGGTACTCAAGGTAGTCTAAAACAGTCTAATGAACCCAAACTTGCTGAGGTACAGTGTTGGAATTATACAGAACTTTCCTGTGAGGAGCCAATATGTTTCTTCTATAAGGACAACTTTTACACTTCCAATTTGGAATTTCGTCTGGTAAGTGCCTCTGCAAGGAAGCTGTAGCAGGTTAAGGACAGATACATATGAAGGCAGCTAGAAGTCAGGTACAAAAATAGCTGCTGCACACTCCTACTATGCACATACACCCTTTTCTACCTTTTTGATTTAGCACATGTCCTGAGAGTCAACTGTCTTCTCTTTATCCACTATACCAACTATTTGTCTTAAAACAATTATGTCTTTCTTTCTTGTCTCATGGCAGAACAAAATGCACAGATTTTCCATATCTTTTTAGTCTCTAAGAAAAACACATACCTCTCAAGAGGTTTCCTGAATTTTTTTTTTTCCTTTTGGTAAAGATGGGGTAAACAAGCAGAGAATAAAAGCATTCCCTTTTACTGTCACTAAAATCTGCTAACAGGGAAGATAAAAGTGACATAGGTTTTCATAGACTATTCATATTGAAAAAAAAATCAATCTCAGGCTGGCATACGGCATGAAAGCAGGACTGATTGGAGGCTATGGAATGGGGAGATGGAGGCCATCACAGGTAGCAGCATGTCAAGGAGGAAAATCTGGGCACGGGAGACAGTTCAGAGTATCAGCAGGAGGCACAAGGAAGGCCTATGGCCCACTAGACTACCCACTTGGTTGTTTTGGTGCTGCTGTTGTTGTTTTTAATACACATGGCTTCACCTCGGCTTTCAAAAATAAGTAATTCAAAAACAAAAGACCTTTCTTCATCCTTGGGCTTTTAAGCTAATAAGCTAAATGTCACCATTCTCTGAATCCTCTATGTTCTAATATAAGCCTATATCTAAGCTTAAAATATTCTTCTCCAGGTAGCAAATGCCTACTGATCCTAAATGGTGACTCTTCTGAGAAACCTTCCAAAGTCAGTCACCTTTTTGACATTGCCTTCGTAAGTGAAGGCATCACCTAATTATTTACATATCTCCCTCCACAACTTCAATAGACTATAACTGAGGATAAACATTGTATTTCCTACTTATCTAATAACAGTACAAGTCATAAAGTAGGCAATCAAAAAGTTTGTTGAATGAAGCAGCCTATGTTAAATCCCAAGGGTTTCCTAAAAACCATGCATTAAATTGGCTAAACACACACAAAGGAGAAAAACATCCCAATGCACATAAAGAAACGATTCAATTCTCAACTTTCGACTACTATTCAAAGATTGTTCTTTTCTTTTTTTAAATTTAAGAAGCAAGTCTGGCTACAACGTTTAGGAGATAAATGTAGGTTGTTGTAACTACTAAGAAATCAAAACGTTTAATAAAAAAGACATTCAGGCCTTCACACCACTTTAGAGAGTGACTTTCACAGCTTCATCTCAGAAAAGCTCAAAATAGACTCCCAAGCTCTGACAGTGTGACCCACCTTAAAAGATTCCATATCTGAAAGCAGACAGGCACTCTGCATGCGTGCTCGGAGGTGAGCCCCTTCTGCTGATGTACCTAATTTAGCTAGAACCTCCGACTGCTCTTCTAGCAGATCTTCTGTCATAGGCGCTGGTTCCTGTGAAGCACAAAAGGACAAAGCTCATGAACAGCTTTTTTTAGAAAAAGCAAAACTATAAAAACAGAATAAAGACAATTATATCAGCTCTAGCAGTCACAAGATCTGTATTTAAAAGAATTTAGAGAAATTCACAAGTTTTTTGGAACCTACATAAAAAATTAACAAATTAATAATAAATATGACTTTCAGGACCCCCCCCACAACAAATAAGATTATCATGTTTCCCTTGACAAGGATTAATAAAAGAGGAATTTGGGTGCACCGAACATTTTCCTGCCTCTTAAAGATAAGAAGTGAAGTTCTAATGATATGTTTATATATGCCACCGTTAGTTACAACCAGGTTTTTATTGTAACTCCTAAGAGAAAAAAAAATGATAAATATGAAAATTAAAATAAAGGCAAATTAATTGAATCCCAACTAAAAGACCCTAAATAACTAAGTTTTATGTTGGAAAAGCTGCTTTGAGTTTAGGTTCCAAAGATATTCTAATTACTAATTCCCGTAAGAAATCTTTGGATTTTTGTTTTGAGAATCAGGGACATTATAGATTCTAATGGTAACCCCAAATAAAAAAGAAGCTAAGGCAAATCTAAAGGAATACATAACTACAGAATCATTATGAACATTCCAAGCTGTTCAAAGGGTCTTAGGAAAGTTCTCTAAGAATTGATTCCATTAGATTTTATATCTGAAATACGAAGCACTCAACAATCCAGAGACTAACCAAACAAAGCTTGCCTGCTTCATTCTTAAAGCCAAAAAAAAACATGGACTTTTCTATTCCTAGATAATAAGATAAAGCACAAGAGAAATAATTTTTTAGAGCATCTTGCCAATAAATACATTCCTTCTAGATTTCAAAAGCTTACTATAAAGCAGGTTTTATAGCCTCAGCACTACTGACATTTAGACTGGGTAATTCTTCGTGGTGGGCCTGTCCTATGCATTGTAGGATGTTTAGCAACATCTATGGCCTCTACCTATTAGATGCCGATAGCACCACTCCACCTCATGATAATCAAAAGTGTTTCCAGACATTACCAAATATCCCTGGGGGGCAAAAATCACTCCCGAGTTGAGAACCACTGCCGTAAAGATAAATAATTTTCACAAATATCTGTCAAAAATAAAGTAGGAGCATGGTAAAGCTATGGCATTCAAAACAGAGCAACAAACAAAAGAAAATAACTTTTCTTCTATCATCCTCATTTTTGAAGCAAACCTAAATGAGGCACTTTCACATACTGCTGAAGAGAACATAATGTATAAGCTTTTCTAGATGACAATCTGGGAATCAATACATGGCATTAATGATGATGCCCTCTGACCCAATAATCCACTTCTAGAAATAGCACTATAGCATTACTTAGAATAGTGTGAGAACTGGAAAGAATCTCAATGTACAATAGGAAAATTGTTTGATATAGGAAAAATGGAAAGAAACTGCTCTAACAGTGATTATCTGTGGATTATGGAATTATGAATTTTTGTTTTCTTTTCTGTACAATGAACATGCATCACTTTTAAAGTCTCACACTGATACTCAGGGCTGAATAATAATAGGTAAGGCAATATGACACAGTGGTTAAGAGCTTGGGCTCTAGAAAAAACGTGCCTATGTTTGAATCCCAGCTCTATGACCTTGGATAATCACTTAAGCTTTCTGTGACTCTTTCTTGTGAAGAAAAAATCCTGGCACATACTCAATTAATGCTAGCAATTAGAGACAAAATAGTTAGGTTTTAATTATAACCTCCCACTGATATCAAAATACCACAAATTAAAAAAATAATATGAACCCCCAATGAAGCAGTACTCAAGAGCAGAAGCCTTCAGTCTTTTCATTAGGAAGGAGCTACTTTTCATTGTCCTACAGCCCTGAAATCTCAGGATGGCAAGAAAGGAACAAGATGTTGAAAAGATACTGATAACCCTCCCACCTGGAAATCTCAGGCCAACTATAAGTAAAGAAGAACATGATTAAGAGGAACATAAGCAGCAAGTAGCCCAAGGACCATACGCTTTCATATCTACCACTTCTAAATATGCTCAAAGCTTTCTCATATACATGATCTCATGTGATCATTGAGAGGAGGTCAGAGCATTTTACAACTGGTGAAACTGAGGTACAGAGATAAGTGACCTACCCAAAATCAAGTGGCAAAACTACAAAGTGTCAAACTGAAGGCAGAATCTCAGACATCTATCTGATGCTGACTTTGAGAACTACTAGTTTGGTTCAATCCACTAGTTAAGGACTCTTGCTCCAAGAGAGTCTCCACAGGTTTCTCTTCTAGCCCTGGCTCTAGAATATTAGGTAAAGTCTTCAAGCTTTTCCTAGCCATAAATTTTAGGTTGAACTAAGTCTACATGAAAGAAATATTAAAGTGTGCTTGAATTCTTATGAAGCAAGGATCTATATAAAGTCTTATTTGTGTGTGTGTGAAGTGGGCAATTGATTAATGGCACATTTTAAGCTAACTTCTAAAGTGTGAAATTTTAAGTGTCTCAACTGAGATCATTTTGAATTCCAACCATTTTATGTAAGTACATATACAATGATTATAATTCAAGTGAGATTAACTTTTAAATAAGACAGTAAAATAGACTAAAAATCTGCCCTGATTTGCCTAAATGTAAGATATAAAAATGGATTTTTAAATACATAGAATGCATATTGAGAAAAAAATAAGTTTAAATTATTCCAGATTTATATAATAAATCTGAATGTAGAAAATGAAGCATCTAAAATGAATGAGGGGGGTATAGCCTTTTGAAAAGAAATAATGCTTGAGCTTCCAGAATAACTTTTTTGGACTCTTCATTAACCCAATCAAACCAAGACAACATAATGTAACTAGCTCATTAAAAATAAGGAATACTGTTAATTAAAATTTGAAAGGGAAAAGATGTAATAAATTAACCTTTGCTGGATATTTACATGCCAAATGCTTTTAAATATACATGGTTTAATCCTTAACAACCTAGAGTAATACAAACTATTCTTGGCTTTTAAAGGATTTAATATTTGATTATTAAGCAAATAAATAGATAGGGTTTTCAAACTGGAGATATGTTAGAACAGAAATACTTTCCTTTTCTTCCTGTCAATCACTGATCATAGAACCACTTAACTTTTTTAACCGCTTTTGTGAAGTATAATCGACATATAATAATTTAAAAGGAACATCTGATGAGTATACATCCATGAAACAATCACCAAAATCGAGATAATGAATATATCCATCATTCCTCAAAGTTTCCTTATGATCATTTTTGGAATGTCCATCAAAAAATGAATGGACAGGGCGCCTGGGTGGCTCAGATGGTTAAGCGTCTGCCTTCGGCTCAGGTCGTGATCTCAGGGTCCTGGGATCGAGTCCCGCATCGGGCTCCCTGCTCCTTGGGAGCCTGCTTCTCCCTCTGCCTTTCTCTCTCGCTCTGTCTCTCATGAATGAAAAAAAAAAAAATCTTTAAAAAAAAAAAAAAAGAATGGACAAACTGGTATATCCATGCAATGGAACACTAGTACTAAGCAATAAAAATGAATGAACTATTGATAGACACAACAGTATGTATGAATCTCAAAATAATTATGCTCAAAGAATTCCTACACACACAAAAATAAAAATGAGTAAAACTTTACACAAAATTCTAAAAAATGCAAACCAACCTACTATTTTTATTAGAGAGCAAAACAAGGCTCAGAAAGAAAACACAGCTTGTACTGGCAATACTGTTAATAAGTGGTAGTGCCAGAATATAAATCTAGTTCTGGTAGTTTCCAAAACCAAGGTCTATACCACAAGACCTCAATGCCAACTGCATGCTCCAAGACAAAATTAGATTAACTATACACTCGGTTTTTAGTATTAGAATATTCTGTCCTAATATTAAAATTTAATAATGAAGTACCTAAAAAATATAATTTACTTTTAAAAGGATATAATGAACAAAAAGCATAAGGCCTGTCAAACAAAAAAACTAACCTTATAAATAATAGCCACCTGCCAACAGTTTAAACATGGAACAGAATCCATGCTTAAAATTATCAAGCAAACATCCCAATATCCAACTGTATAAATATTAAAATTAATCAACCCATTTCAAAATATAAAAACTGCTTACAAACTTTTAAGTAAATCCTTGCATCTTGAGAAGCAATACTAGCCACTTATGTCTTATAAGAAAAAGTCCTCAGAAGAATAATAGCTAAAAACTGAGTGCTTATTGTGGACTAGACACTGTATTCACTCATCATGTGCTATTTCACTTAAAATTCACAATTAGCTTAATGATAACCTCAATATGCAGAAAAGCATTTGATAAAATATAACACCTGTTCATGATAAAAACTCTCAAAAACCCGGAATAGAAGAGAATTTCCTTAATATGATAAATGATATCAACATCAGATATGCTCAATGATTATTATATGCTTTCCTCCTGAAATTGAGAGCAAGAGCAGGTATCCATACACTAATCAACACTATACTGGTGGTCCAGTACAATAAAGTATGAAAAAGAATTAAAAAGTATAAAGGTTAGAAAATCAAAATGCAAATTGTCTGTATTAACAGATAACATGACTGTGTATACAGAAAACTCCAAATAATCTACAAACTGCTAGAAATAATAAGTGAATGTACTAAGATTGCTAGATCCAAAGTCCATATAAAAAAATCAACTGTTTCTATGTATCAGGGAAAAAAAATTTCAATGGAATTTTTAAAATGCCATTTATAACATTTAAGAAATTACAAAAACTATGAATTAAATCTAATAAAAGATATGCAAAACCTCTACATTAAAAACTATAAAACACTGGTAAGGGAAAATAAAAGAAATCTTAAATAAAATGAAAGGTATTTCACGGTCATGGGACTCGAAATTGTTAAGATGTCAATTCTCCTTAAATTAATTTATAAATTCAATGCAATATGGATTAAAAACCCAGCAGGATTATTTTATATGTGGAAAATGACCAGCTAATT